TCCTAGTAGTAGGAATATATGCAACACCACTGGGGAATCTACTTTTTTCTCAGTAGTAAATCCAGTGAAATTAATCTTAAAATATGCTCATTACCTTTGCAACTGTGAACTTCTCTGGTTCATTGATCCTCAGATCAGCCTTTGAGTATGTTATACCTTTCTAACTGTGTTTGTAATTATTCTTGTGCACTGATCCAGTATATCAGAAGCATATTAAGGGGTTACTAAACAGGCAAGCCTTTTTGAATAGTGATCACAATGAGTAAAATGTGTAGGTTCTTTAGGGGGTACATAACTGCTGAACCTAGATAGCCATTGATTTGCCTGTAAATATACAACTATATGCATTCACTAGCAAACGAAAGCCATTGCTATCTAATAGCTCTCAGTGACTAATCTAAACTATATTGAAGATCTTAATTCTGTTCCCAAGTATACAGGTGCCCATGTGCCAAAAGACAGAATGGACAAGTGTTGACTAGACAGAAAGACTTGAACTTTTGCTTCAACTGTAGAAGCAAACTCACAAAGGCAGATATCTTGCGCAGAGGAAGAATGATTAGATGGTTCTGTAAAGAAAAAAGGGACTTCAAATTTCAGGCTTATCATTCTGCTTATCATGGGGATTTTTTCTTTTAAGGGAAAAAAACAAAACAAAAACACTTTTAAAGCTGACTTCAGGCTCCCTTTAGATCTTTCTTACCCACCATAAGCCAATGAGTTTTAATAAAAGCTTCAATACACACAAATCTCCAAATGAAAAAAGACTTAAGTGGAGTTTCTCATCAAATCTGCAAAAATATTATTCAAACACTTTTGTTTTGGGTAAGTTCAGAATTCCAGATGTGCACTGAAATGCTTTGTGAACAACATATTTGCAGGTGTTTGATGTTGGCACTTCATGACCTCTGCACACCTGCATAGTTTTTATTGCAAGTGTTATCTGAGATTGAATTACATTTCTTGTAAGGCCTGGTTCAGAGTCCATTGAAATGAAGGGACAAACTTCAAAAGATTTCAGTGGGTTTTGGATCAATCCCATAAAACTAGCATATTAGTAGAATGAGAACAAAAAACACAAATCACTGTCTAGCTTATAATAGACCAGTATTGTTCTGATCAAATTCCTAAATATTATTTGCCCATGTACATCAAGTTGAACATGCTGTGATCTGGCAAAAATGTATAGCTGCCAAGTACTGTAGCACTTAAAACATGACATTGCTAATTAAATTTTCCTAGCAAGGTTGTATGGGCATGTTCCCAAAGAAGAAACAATGGGTTTAGCTTTAGCTTTTTTTTTTTGTATCACTTCTCAGCTGCAGAATTGTGGAAGACCTAGCTGGTTGAATGACCACCTCAAAAATATAGTAATAAGATACCTTACAAAGAACAGGAAAACAGATTACTTAGGAAAGAAAGCTGGAGGTCAGAAAATGTAGGCATAAGGTGAGATCTGCCAAAATTCAAGCTGAGTTACACCTTGCAAAGGAAATGAAAACAAATAGCAACATGTTCTTCAGTCATATAAATACAAAGAGAACAAAGGAAAGAAGAACTCAAGCAACTATGCAGTGGTAATGAGAAACGAAAATCTAGGTATCATCCAAAAATAAAATAATTCCCCCTTCAGTTTACAGAAAGAATGAATATGGGAGATTAAAGGCAGGGCAGCTAATGAAAATGACAGCATGGACATGTAAATGACTACGTCTGAGGTGGAAGTAAAACTCAGACACATGACTAGGGGGCGTGCATTTGCAGCAACACAAACAGTAGTGGCACAAATGTGTGCCACTACTTTGCGCTGCAGTGCACGCCCCTGCTTATGCAGTCTGCAACAAGACATGTTGTCCTGCTGCTTCATGTGCTGTGGGGGGGGTTGGGGGGAGGCGGGTGTGATGGGACACAGGGTGCTTCAGTATGGGGCTAGCCAGCAGGAGCCCTCATGCTGAGTCACCCTGTGCCCCAGCCAGCCAGGGGGTGGCATGTAGAGATGGGGCCGCCTGCTCCCGTCTCCATGCACTGCAAAGCCCCCATGCTGAGACTCCCTGAGCACCAGCCAGTAGGGCTATGCGAAGCTTTGGTCCCTGATTCAATTCAGTGGAGATTTGGCCTGATTCAGTGGTCAAATCTCCAAATCAGAATCAAACCAGAGGACCCTTTAATCTCTTCAAATCGATTTGGAACTCTCTGAATAGATTTGGGGAGATTTGGACAGATTCGGCGATTCAAATGTAGATACAGCTTTAAATGTTTTTTCTACATACCTCTAGGTAGCAGAGCCTCTGAAGGCTGTGGTGCTGGGGCAGATGCAGTGTCCCACAGAAGCACAGAAGGCTTCCCGGCCAATCGTTGAGCCAGGGGGTGCCCGGGGTGGGGGCCCAGTGCGTTCCCTGACAGACCCGGAAGTGGACCAGAAGTACTTCTGGTCCATTTCTGGGTTCACTGCCAAGCATGCTGGAGAGACCCCCCATGCTCCCGTGGGACACTCTATGCACCCCAGCATCACAGAGATCATGAGCTGCACGCCCCTCAAGGGACATAGAAACAAACTTTTATAGCTGTGCCTGTGTCCGAAATGCTGATTTACCAAATCAGCATTGAATCTTCAGATTTGGATTGGGCTGAATCAAATCAGGGACAGTGATCTGAATCGATGGACCAAATCACTGTCCCTGATTTGGGCCGAATCCGAATTGAATAGGGTCCATTTCACACAGCCTTACCAGCCAGCTGCTCCCCAGATGACTGGGGTGCAGTGTGACTTGAGACTGGGGAGAAGGCAGCCCTGGGCTGGCTGCTTCCGTGTCTCCATGTGCATCAGTGCAAGGGCTCAGCGGCTGGCTGGGGTGCACTGTGCATCAAGATAGGGGCTCAGTGTGCCTCAGTATGGGGGCTCTGCAGCAGAGTCCCCATGCTGAGGCACACAGAGACAGGGAAGAAGGCGGCCTAGGCTGCCTGCTCGCCCATCTCCACATTTATCCCAGCACACAGCACTTTGGTGTACTTTGTGCCACTTCTTATTTCACTGTTTGCATTTTTTTGCTACCAGGAAATCCTGGTAGCAAATTTTGCCCCAGCACTGCTAATCAGCAGCACCTCCTATGGTTTAAAGTGCAACGTACGGTTTGTGCCGCCACAAAGAGGTTTTTGATATTTTACCACATGGGAAGCAATTAATTTAACTGAAGAATATGGGGATTAGTACAAGAATTGTAAGGTGTGTAAATAATAGGCTAAAGAAATGACAACTATAGTTTGTATGAAATGTGAACAACCAGGTGAAAAGAGGTTACTAATAGAGTTCTTCAAGGGCAGATCTTAGGATCAATCTTATTGAATAGCTTTTAAAATGCCCATGGAATAAAAATAGGAATGTGCTAATGAAACTTAATGATGACATTTGAGAAAACACTGTCAGTGCAAAAGAGGATCAGGATATTATACAGGTAGAAGTGTGTAACCTTGAAGATTGGAGCAGTAGAAATAAAATAAAATTTAAGAGTACAAAGTAAAAAGTAACATTCCTAGGGACTAATAAGAAAAAATTCTGCTCAAGGAAGAGGAATCATCTGTTGGAAATAGAGAAGGGGAAAGATTAAAGTTAATTTATCAGTTAACAAAAGAATGACTAAGATCCACCAGTGTATACAGTTGTGAAAAAAGGGACACAGGGAAGTATCAGGCAAGTTATTTCCAGTAGAAAAGAAGAAATATCAATACCGTTGTATAAAGTACTAGTGAGAATCTAGAATGGTATGTACAGATCCAGTCATCCAGGCCAGAGTTATGAATGGCAGTTTTGGTGCCCTGCACAGAGATTGGATGGATGCCATTCAGGACATGGTTATCTGCAACAGAAGGACTGTTTTTGAGAACTCAGAAGGTTCCTTCTAGTCCTATGATCTTATAGCTCACAGGGAAGTGCTAGAGGTCATAAATCCTTCACCCTGGATTGGTGACCTCTAGGATGAAGTCCTGTCTAAAGAGGAAGTGAAGAAAAAGCTAACCACTTGGTAGTTAACAGGGTCTAACAAAAAACTTCACACCAATTTGGATGATTTAGTAGGGAGGGACACATATGGCATGGAAATAAAGACAATCTCTCTCTCTGTCTTTTCCCTGGCTTTGTTTTTGCTAGGGAAAAAGCTTACTTGAGATAAATACATGACAGTTGATCATTCTCATGTGTGTTAGGAGGTCAAGGTAAGTCCTTGGCTCCCCCATATCCTTTAGCCTGATTTGGTAATTTATGTTAAAAATAAGAGCTTCGTTTTCTTTACAAGAATTCTGCACAGAAGATGTGGACATATGACATAATCGTGATGAAGTAATTTACCCCCAAATTTACTTTGCCGTAAATTTACAGTATAACCCGTGACCAGTTCTCCCAAGCTATTTGTCTGTAGTAAGCACTGTTACATCACTTGGTACCAGGGAGCAATTTAGCACTAAACAAGGGACTGACTCAGGATGAAACTGATTAAAGGAAGAGACACAAGTACCACTGATCTGGTTTCTTTTAGTGCATCTCCTTACTTTTTGAGGGAAAACTATCTTGAAGTTGAATGACTTACCCCAGTGTAAAGCTGCTTCCTGTATCTACCCCACTTCTACTATTGAAGTCAGCTTATTCCTTAGTAAATGTGCTACCTTGAGTTCAGAATATTTTTTTCTCCTACTGAAGATGCACCCTTATTAAAAAGGTTGGCTTTTAATATGGGGCCCATTTGTAAATTCATAATATTAACATGCTGATATCATTTTCTGCAGAATGCTGTACTAATCTCAGTGGGGAGTGCTACTTAAAAACCTGCAGGATAATTTGGAAGTCAGTGCAAGGGAAGATTAAATTGTCACTATCTGTGCTATGTCTCTTCAGTGAGAAGCAGAACAATTCAGCTTCAAGGTCTCTGAATACTACAGTTTATGTATATTTATTTAGTATTTATGAAATTATTTTTAAATGAGAGGGTCTTCGGTAGGAATTCTGAAAGAAAAGTTTTTGCACGAAGCATGACAGTATGAAAGGAATGATTGCACCCACTCACATTCTAGAAAATCAGAATGATATGACAGACACATACATTTAGACTTATTTTCAGTTTAAATAAACCCCTTGGGTTCACTCTAAAACTGAACTGAGGTTAAAATAGGTGAAAGAAAAAATGTCTTTTAAAGAGATACATGAGAATTAGACTGTGCATCAAGAGTTCTTGTACATTTTTAAAATTATTTTTTAATTTTAAAGAAACAAAATAATAAATATCCAAAGAATAGACCCAGATTATTTATTCTAAATAAACTGAATTTCAGCGCATCCATGTTATTTTGTCTTGGGGCTCCATCTCATTACAAAAGTTAAGTATGCTTACACTGTTTGAATAGGAGTTGTCCAAGTAACCTATGGTGTTTAGGAAATGACAGCAATGAAACACTGCTTGGCAGCCAGTACTGAACTCCTGCCTCTATGATATTGGTAGTGGAAACAGATGTCACTTTTGTGCCACCATAAACATTTTTATGGCGGCACAAAGTGAAAGCAAACAGAAGTCTCTACGTCCTGTTGCACCACTAAAGCTCAGATTTGTGGCCGCAACAGCAATATTAAATTGGGCTGCTTTACAGCAATCCACATCTGTTTTCTTATGGCATAAAAGCCCAGGCAGCGTGAAGCTGCCCAGGATCTCCAGACTCCCTGGGGCACGGGCTCCATGGGGTCAAGGGGCAGGTTCAGCCCTCTCAAGGCTTGGGTGTGCCTGCCTTGCTTTCGTACTGACTTATATGTGTCCTTCTCCAAGAGGGGGTTCCGACTTGCAGACATGCACCCTATACAGTACACAGGGAAATCCCTCTGCAGAAGATTTCTACATGTATGCCTGAATGTGCAGAGTGCAGGAACTCTGATAGGGTGTCCTCATTTGGCCTTTGCAGCCTGGTATGCTCTGCTGTCAGAAACACAGTGAGATTTTCCTGTGTGCCTACAAAGGTGGAGGAGGGACCCCGTGCAAGTTTCCGCCCACTGCATGTGCTGACCCTTGTAGAGAAATCCTTTGCAAAGGGATTTCCCCCTGAACACCTGCAAATGCAGAGTGGGGAGCCTGAGTTGAGCACTGCTTGCTGAAGCACACCTTTGTGAGGGCACTAAAACCTGGGCATCTATAGGTGCCCCTAAAGTGCAATCAGCTGTGCCATGACATATCATATTCCATTGAAGATGTCTGTTTCCAGCTTGGAACTACTGTCCTCCATTTAAAATCTTCTGGGGGGGTTTTCTACCAGGAGTATTAACTCCAAGATTCTTGCCAAACTTTGGTTTTGGTGTTTATATTCTATCTACATAACTTCTCTATGGTTTCAAATTAATTTGTTGTTCTTCACTTTCCATCTTAAAACAGCCGTTTAGATTTGCTGTGAATGTAAAAAGAGTGGACAAGTTTCAGTGATGAATGCGCTCGTATATGTGCGTGTGTACTGGTTTACTGTTCTAAATTATAGCATTTGGAATAACAGGTTCTATAAAGCATCATTCTAAAGGAGAATCAAGTTGTTCCTGGGCACATCTACACATGCCTTAATGAGCTGTGGTTACCGAGCATTAAGTTTAATATCTGTAATAACAGATACTAACTAAATGCACAGCAACTGGTGCTGCTGAGCAGTAGCACTGGCACATGCCTTTTAAGTGATGCTGATGTGCAGTAGACTAATTCTACTGTGCATTAGTGCAATAGCATGGCTTTCACAGTGATTCAGTAATGCCCAGTAGAACTAGTCTACTGTACATTTAGAATCTCATGTAGGTATGCCCCCTTTTAACTAGTGTGAGCTGCTCCTGAGCCCAAAGTTTGCTGCTATACTATGTAACTAATAGGCCTGGCAAATGTTTTTGAAGGAACCAGTTTCAATGGAGAATTAGATTTTCAAGATTTCAGAATCACATTTTGTAGAAAAGTTCCATGCAAAATACTGACCTTTTGCCTTTTGATCATGATTCAGAACACAAAACAGTGCACATATATTGGAATTCTGAAATTCTTTTAGCTTTAATAGAATGGCATTTCACTGCAATTACATTTATAGCTTTTGTTGCTATTTCTCAGTTTTTTTCCAGCTTTAACTAATTTCATTGTCCCAGTGATCTAGCAAAGTGATATTGACAGAATTATATATGATCTTCTTTCTCTATAATGCATTTCAATGATTTTGTCACCTACTGGTCATATCTACACATGAATTTACACCACCTTGAATTTATTGTGCAGTAAATTACTGCGCAGTAAGTGGGAATAGGCTGGCATCTACATGTGCTATTGAGCAGTAAGGTGTTTACATGTGCATTACTGTGCAGTAACTAATCAAGCATAAAATTGATGCCTGTATGATGGAGGTATCAAATATATGCTCAAGTTGGTGTAAGTTGCCATATTTAATGTGCAATACAGATGTGCACATATAGACACATGCCTGTACTGCACAGTAATTTTGGTTACGGCACAGTAAATGATCATGTTTAGATGCACCCACTGTGTACTGTCTTTATAGTACATTTTAACAGGATTTCCCCCCATTAGAGACATATGCACCTTGTAATGGCATTTATTTTTGTGGACACACTGTTTCTAAAAAAAATACACTTCTGATGCTTGAGTCTCTTCTTATTTAAAATAGCATACTCTACCTTCACCAATGTTTGTGCTGGAGTAATGCAGAGATTAATTGGACCTATAAGTTGTTTTATCTATGTGACATTTAATGTTTCAATGTATTATGATTTCTTATCTAGAAGTACATCTATCTTCAAATTATTAACATAAATGATCAGTTTCCCCAAAGGTTGGATGGAGTTTCATAAAAGCTTTGTTAAACTGTCTCTTATTTAAAAAGTACATGAGTTTATGAAGGCAAGTTATTGTTTGTACGCTGCTAATTTGCAAATAAAATGGATTTCTAATTTGACAAGTCTAAGCAAATTGAAAGCCAAGATTCTGCATTAAGTTGACATCAATTTATGAATGTTTCCCAGTGTTCTATTATGCTAAACAGAAAATGTATTTATAAGTAGAATGTATTAATCAGTGAACAGTGCCTTAATTATGGAAATGGAAGTCATGTTTAAAGCTTAATATGTCACCGTAATGCTTTTCATTATAACTCTGTTTCAGTGACTCACTTGTAGCACATTTAACTGTGGGTTTTTTATTTAAATGCATTTTATACACTGATTAGCTGTCGTATACTGATTGCTATGCAGTAGCGCAAGAAAATATAGTGACCGCATCTTGACTGAACAGTCATTACTGCACAGTCATTTAGTACTTATTTATACAAGTATGCAATTATGCTACTGCCCAGTTTATACAAGTACTAAATGACTGCACAGTAACTGGAGTTACTGCACAGTAGCACTGCCAAAGAGCTTTTAGGTGATGCTCACTTTACAGTAGGATAGTGGCATACTTGTATAAACAAGTACTGAATGATTGCACAGTAATGACTCTGCATCTCGTGTAGATGCAGCCGCTTTATATTTTCTTGCACTCCTGCATAACAAATTTGAAAATACTGGGAGTGGTTACCATACAGTCATTTAATACTTGTATAAGCAAGTACTAAATGACTGCGCAGTAATCAGCATTGGTACGCAGTAGGATCACCAAATGGCTTTTAGGTGATGCTGACTGTGCAGTAGCTCATTACTACTGTGCAGTACCATCACGTCGATCTTCCTTCCATGCAGCCCTACTGTGCAGTCAGCATCTTGTGTAGACACAGCCAGCAAGTATGAACTGGGCCCTGGATTCTCAGGGATTTGGGAAACTTCCATCTTTAAAACAAGCAAATGGGAGTATTTGTTCATTATGTTTAACCGAACTGCCTTAGGTCTATCTTGGGCTAGGCTGGCAAATCAAATCACTCAAAGCAGGTGAGCTCATGGTATCTGACACCATCAGATGGTCATGGGACATCTACACTGAATGTATTACCGGTTGAGACCACCTGCCACAAGCAAGGGCAGGGGGATGGACTGAAAAAGGCACCTCCCTCCCTTATACTATAGACTTTCACAAAGACTACTAATGCTACTGAATAACCCCTACCCTGGCAATTGTGCACAACATAGCTAAAAATCCCTTGCAGTCTTACAACTCTGTACTGATGCAGTTACCATGTGGGAGGTACTGTTTCTCTTACCATAGCATTGCATGGAAATTGCATTACCTTGGACTAATGTAGGCTGCATGACTGACTGCATTTACTCAGATACAAAATGAGCTTCCCCTCGCCCCCAATGAGCACAGGGGAAAAAAAGCCCCTCATCTTATAACTACATACAAGAAAACCTCATTAAATATATTGTCTATCATTAAACTACTGCTGAAAGCAGAATGAGCTCAACAATGGAAACCAGCTGGTAAGTTAATTAAATGCAGCCAACACTAAGTATATTGAGCAAACATGGCCCATATTGGGCAAAAATGATGTTGGGAACCTTTTTTTTTGGTGTGCCTTAAAAAAACAGGCAGTTGCTCCCCTAAGAGGGATCTAGCACCAGGCCTGGAGGTACTACAATACCAGGACAGCACTGGGAGGGCCAGAGGCAGCTTTGACACCCTCTTCTTGGTGCCAAAAATGCTGCTACATTTGATCTCAGCCAAAAATGCTGAGATGCTGATTGGAACCTACCATAAGAATAGATGAATGCTGCCCATCTGAATAAGATATGTGGTAGTACCCATTAAGTGCAGTCTACTTCAGCACTGACTCTTTTTTTGTCATAAGCCACTTCACTGCATACATTTTGACTTCCTTTGCACTCCCACAGCTGAGGTGCACCTTTTCTTCCCCATTTCCAGTGATTCATGATTCTTCACCAGCCTTAAATGCATGGCAAACATCAACTAAACAGGGTCCCAAACAGTTCAGCCAGAATCCCTCTGTCATGCCCTCTCTCAGGCTGGAGCATATGATTAATGTGCCCCTGTCCTCCATGAAGTGGACCTGGACCAAGTTGCCTTGCACCTCATTTGCATGTATATTTTTGGAGGAGACTAGGACTTGTGACAAGAATACTGGGTTCCAGTCATCACTGGAGAGCTAATTAACACGTGGATCCTTCTTGGGGGGTATCTGGAGTACACAACATACTGTGCAGTGCTAAGCTGTGGGATCACCGTGGCTTGAAATGCTGTTGACTCTGCTGGGGCCAAGCTCATGATCAGTAAGATAAACCATAAGCTTTTGGCTTTGGACTAATATCACATGTAGTTAGCAATATATGTAAATAGGTGCCCAAGTGCTGCCTAAAAAAGTGCTTATAGAATACCTGTGCTAAAATTTGTAGTAAATATGGTAGACTGCATTAATATACATCCACTCTGTATCTATGAAGTTTTTGGGGGGCACTCTACTTCACTGTGAAGGCCATGGTACCAGTCAGAAGGATCTTTTGCAGTTCATCTAGTACTCACCACTCAAAGTTGGACTTCGATCTTTTCTTCCTCAGTTGCTGTACATCTGGCCAGTCCTTTGGCTTTCTCTCCTCCTTTCAGTTGTACATGCTGAAGAACAGGGGCTGTAAATACTTATCTAGTAGTCAAACCCAGCAAATACTAACATAAATATATAATTTAGAACTTGGGATATATAGGCAGTGTTGTGAAAGTTGCGTATGAAGATAGGGTAAGAGTGATACTGTAGTTGTGATGGTGACATTTGAATGCAAGACCTGATGAAGAATATCTTGCATCCAAAAGCTTGTCTAACTTTATGCCAATTACATACTTGGTCCAATAAAAGATATCACCCTAAAAAAATCCTTGCCTCTTTCATATATGAAGATACTCTGATACAGAGGAGACTAGCTCCACGTGTTTGTTCCTCTTCATAGTAATCAGCTACCTTGCCTCTTTTATGGCACTTCTCCTATTTGCCCTTCATCCCCATAGTTCTACAAGCACTTTGAAGATCAGCCAGCTCTTAGGTCAAGGTCAAATGTACTTGAGATCCCGAGAGTTTTCTAAGGATTAATTATAGACCTTGGTCTCTCACATGCATCGTTTTCCTTTCTTTGAGCTGTAGGCTCCAAATTACCTGACAGATACACCATTTACAGCCCCCAGCTTCTATGAGTCACCATAACTGGAAGGTATTTAGCATCCATCATGAGCATTTTTTTCCCCTAAATCTTAAGATATTTTTAAAATCAGGCTGCATGAAAAAAGTGTTTATAGAACAATGCATAATTGAACAAAGTCCTCTAGTAGGTGAAGACATGAGACCATCAGGAGTAAAAAAACGAGTCGTGTTCAAGACTTAAACATGCCAGGAGACATACTATTTATTTTTCTCTTCAGAATTATTTCAGTACAAGGTGGGGAGTGGGTGGGGGAATAAAAATAACTGTTCTCAGCATATAGCTGTGTAACTTTTCATTTACCTGAGCATTGTTTTCAAAATACAGTAAAAGTTTTGTTATCTGACACCCATGGGGAATGGGGGTGCTGGATAACAAAATATGCCGGTTAATTGAGAGGCCCAAACAGGCGTCTTTGCCTGTTCGGGCCACTGCTTCTCCTGCCACGTCCAGGGCATTGCTGCCCCTCCCACTGTGTCACTTCCCCTCCAGCCACATCTCTGACCCTCCTGTGGGCCCTGAGAGACAGGGAGGAGGGCCCCGTGCAGCCTGCTATGCCCT